GACGCTGAACGGGCTGAGCGTGACGGGGGACGCGCAGCACCAGTACCAGACGCTGCACAAGATGTACAACAACTGCGAGATCGTGATGGGCAACCTGGAGATCGTCCTCATCGACCACACGCAGGACCTCTCCTTTCTGCAGGTGAGCCGGGGGGCGGACCCGGACACACAGACACGGGGGGGGTCCGCGCCCACCGGGCTGACGCGTGCCGCTGCCCCACAGACCATCCGGGAGGTGACGGGCTACATCCTGATCGCCATGAACGTCTTCGCCTCGCTGCCGCTGCAGAACCTGCGCGTCATCCGGGGGACGCAGTTCTACGAGGAGAAGTACGCGCTCTTCGTCCTGCTCAACTACAACCCCAACACCACCCACGCTCTGCGCCAGCTCGGCCTCAACCAGCTCACAGGTGGGACCCCCGGTGGCCTGGGACCCGTCCCGCAGCGGTGTCCGTCCCCCCCCGGTCCCCAACCCGGGGTGGTGCCATCCCACTGTGCCCTGTGCCCCCCATCCCAAATTGATGGTGTCCCCCACCCTGTGGTCCCCCATCCCAGAGCAGTGTCACACACCCCCACCGTGGTCCCCATCACAGGTTGGTGCCACCACCCCCCCGTGCACCCTGGGGCCGTGCTGTCCCCTCAGCAGTCCCCATCCCAGAGCGGTGGTGTCCCCATCCCGGAGCAGTGGTGTCCCCATCCCAGAGCGGTGGTGTCCCCATCGCGGAGCAGTCGTGTCCCCATCCTGGAGCGGTGGTGTCCCCATCCCAGAGCGGTGGTGTCCCCATCCCAGAGCAGTGGTGTCCCCATCCCAGAGCGGTGGTGTCCCCATCCCGGAGCAGTGCCATCTCCCCGTGGATCCTCATCATGGAGCGGTGCCATCCACCCACAGTCCCCATCCCATAGTGTTGCTGTCCCCCCATGGTCTCCATCTAGGGTGGTGCCACCCCCCCGTGCACCCTGGGGCCGTGCTGTCCCCGCTGTGGTCCCCATCCCCGAGTGATGGTGTCCCCCCCGCTGTGAGCAGTGCTGTCCCCTCCACGGTCCCCATCCCGCAGCGGTGCCATCCCCTCCCCGCCGTTCCCAGGGCCGGGGGGGGGGGAAACCAGAGCCCCTGT